GCTCCGGTTCCTCAAGCCTCATCCCATTGACCTGCAACAAGAGTGGCAAGTTTGCATTCGGATCATCCGACGCCATAGCCAAAAAGGCACAGCAGGAGAGGAGTGCTTCTCCGGTGAGAATCTGCGAAGCCTGGTCTGGATCCCAAGTACCCGCATGAGCGGTGGTCAGCTGCTCCCGGTCCATCGCGAAGTCTTGAGTGGCTGCTAAGTCGTGTAGTTGAGTCATTCTGGGACAAGAGCATGCGGAATCCACCACGCGATCTTGCGACAAGTTCAGCTCCAGTTTGCCGTCGAATTTGCCCGCCACGTTGAGAAACAGCAGCGGTTGTCCTTTGTGAGAGCGACAAAGCTCTATGTTGGTGGATCCCCAGACTGCAATCACAGCCTCCGCTGTCTTGGAGTTACTCGTCTGTGTGCCGTCGACCAGATGTACACTTGCCACTGGAGGGTGGCCAGCGGGAGTGCGGGTTTCTGAAACAGAATGAACCACAGCCATGACATCGAAGCAACGCTGCGATTTGATGTTCATCATGTCTGCCACTGTAGTCGCTGGAGCCGGCGCCGATGCCAAGGAGGTCTCCTCCGGAGAGCTTTTGAGCACTGGACTGCAGGTTGTGCGCTTGAGGTCGACCACGACACGAACAGACGTATGCACAAAAGCGTCCTGCTGCCGACTGTCCAGGCCGACGCTGGAGAGTTTCCACGCCGTCATCGGAGGGAACTTTTTCAGAGCAGCTTGGACTTCTGCTGGAGTTCCTTTGAGGATGGCCTCACAATAGTGCTCTGAGTCTGTGCCAAGCAGAATGCATGTGAATCGGTTTGCATGGACTAGCTGGCCATTGTTCCTGCTCTTGTACGAGTACTTGATCTCCCTGGGCTTGTATACTCGGACAAGGAAGTCTTGGGTTTTGGCGCTGCTCTTCGTGAGAAAACCCAGTGGAGACGTCGGCTGTTCTGCAGCAGCAGCCATGGTAGCTCACCCGGAGGATCACCGTGGAGCGCACAGTGACACAGGCTGAGAAGCACCGTGCACGGCACGGTGAGACTGGTTGAGCGGATGCGGACAAGGCTCGCTTTTGCCTCGAACTCCTGCAATCAAAGTTCTTTGAACCAGAACGGCAATGATTACAGAATTGCAAAGTTACAAGTGATGCCTCCACGAAGCACCCCCCCTGTGGAGTCGAGAAAGCGTGTTGCTGTATGTGTGCGTGACTCGATGGATGTGATGTGTGTGCTGTGTGGCCCCGCCCCAAGAAATGTTTCGGCCTCTCAAGACCCCCCCGCTCCACGAATCCCATTGGGGGTTCGAGATCCCCGCTCTGGTGGGCGGAGACGCCAAAGGCTTCGAAAACCGCTAGGGGGGGAAGGATAAGGGAGAAGAAAAGGACGGAGAGGGAGGGCTCGGAGGCCCTTGGAGGGGGGGATGAAAACGAGGCACCAGCCGTGGCAACGACCCCCCCCCTATCCCCCTCCGCGACCTGAGTAGACCACCCAGGCCAGCGGAGGACGTCATAGGGGGCGGGGGTTCTGACTTCGATGAAAGAAGAGAAGGAAAGAGGGGGGGGGGATCAGGCAGACGAAAGCCCTTTTAGGCTTTACCCGGCGTGTGGAAATGCCCTCTTTGGCTTTTGCGGGGACTAACCCGCGCGGTCGCCCGCAGGCGACAGGGCGCCCAGGCCCTCTCCGCGCGCGCAGGCGCGTGGCAAACTACATGCGCACGATCGCCCGTGGAATCGAATGGAACCGTCCGCGGCGAGTCGTCCGCGGCGACTCAGGACCACGTCGCCCTGGAAGAAGAGGCGCTACAAGGATGCATTCTGCGACGCTGGAGATCCTGATGCGACGAGGACGCTGCAGAGAAACATTCTGCGCGCGTACGCACGACCTGGAACGACAAGCACAATACGGGAACAAATTCGGTGACGCTGGACTCCCCGATGGGACGAAGAAGCAGCAGAGACACGTCTCAAGGCGCAGCAACACCGAAGTGACGCAAACGCACCCCGCGACACGACAAGGACGCTGCAAGAAGAAACTCGGCGACGCAGGAGTGCGTGGAAGCTACAAAGGCATGGAAAGGAAGCTGCGAGGAAACTACAGAGTATTCAAAGCGTCTCGAGCTTAGGGAGCCTTCCTCAGAGCCCTTGTGCGCACGACTCGGGGCAGCCGGCCGCCCTCCCCTCCTGTTCGTCCTCCTCCTCCTCCTCCTGCTCGTCCTCGTCCCCCTCCTGCTCGTCTTCTTTCTCCTGCTCCTCCTCCTCCTCCTCCTCCTCCTCCTCCTCTTTCTCCTGCTCCTCCTCCCTCCTCCTCCTCCTCCTCCTCCTCTTCCTCTTGCTCGTCCTCGTTCTCGTCGTCCTCGTCTTGCTCGTCCTCCTCCTCCTGGTGCTCTCTCCTCCTCCTCCTCCTCCTCCTCCTCCTCCTCCTCCTCCTCCTCCTCCTGGTGGTCCTCGTTCTCCTCCTCCTGGTGCTCTCCCCCCCCCTCCTCCTCCTCGTCCTCCTCCTCCTCCTCCTCCTCCTCCTCCTCCTCCTCTCCTCCTCCTCCTCCTCCTCCTCCTCCTCGTCCTCCTCCTCCTCTTCCTCCTCCTCCTCCTCCTCCTGGTAGTCCTCCCCCTCCCCTCCTCCTCCTCCTCCTCCTCTTCCTGGTTCTTCCTGGTCGCCCTCGTTCTCGTCCTCCTCGTCTTGCTCGTCCTCCTCCTCGTGGTGTTCTCTCCTCCTCCTCCTCCTCCTCCTCCTCCTCCTCCTCCTCCTCCTCCTCCTCCTGGTGGTCCTCGTTCTCCTCCTCCTGGTGCTCTCCCCCCCCCCTCCTCCTCCTCCTCCCTCCTCCTCCTCCTCCTCCTTCCTCCTCCTCTCCTCTCCTCCTCCTCCTCCTCCTCCTCCTCCTCGTCCTCTCCCTCCTACTCCTAACTCTCTCATCCTCCTCCCCCTCCTCCTACCTCCTACTCCTCCTCCTCCTCCTCCTCCCCTCCCCAGGGTGGTGTCTCGTCTCCTCCTCCCCTCCTCCTCCTTCCTCCGTCCTCCTCCTCATCCTCTCCTCCCCTCCTCCTCCTGGTGGTCCTCGTTCTCCTCCTCCTGGTGCTCTCCCCCCCCCTCCTCCTCCTCGTCCTCCTCCTCCTCCTCCTCGTCCTCCTCCTCCTCTCCTCCTCCTCCTCCTCCTCCTCCTCCTCCTGGTAGTCCTCCCCCTCCTCCTCCTCCTCCTCCTCCTCCTCCTCTTCCTGGTCGTCCTCCTCCTCCTCCTGGTCGTCTCCTCCTCCTCCTCCTCCTCCTCCTCCTCCTCCTCCTCCTCCTCCTCCTCCTCCTCCCTCCTCTTCCTGGTCGTCCTCCTCCTCCTGGTCGTCCTCCTCCTCCTGCTCGTCCTCCTCCTCCTCCTGCTCGTCCTTCTTCTCCTGCTCCTCCTGCTCCTCGTCCTGCTCCTGCTCGTCCTCGTCCTCCTGGTCTTGCTCGTCCTCCTCCTCGTCGTGCTCTTGCCCCTGCTGAAAATGTAGCCCAGGAATGGGAGTTTTGGGAAGTCGAAAAGCACGAAGTTGCCTACAGTTGGCTACGGGCATTCAAAAATGCCTCCTCCTCCTCCTCCTCCTCCTCCTCCTCCTCCTGGTGGTCCTCGTTCTCCTCCTCCTGGTGCTCTCCCCCCCCCCTCCTCCTCCTCGTCCTCCTCCTCCTCCTCCTCCTCGTCTCCTCCTCCTCTTCCTCCTCCTCCTCCTCCTCCTCTCCTCGTCCTCCTCCTCCTGGTAGTCCTCCCCTCCCCTCCTCCTCCTCCTCCCTCCTCCTCCTCCTCCTCTCCTCGTCCTCCTCCTCCTCCTCCTCCTCGTCCTCGTCCTCCTCCTCCTCCTCCTCCTTCCTCCTCCTCCTCCTCCTCCTCCTCCTCCTCCTCCTCCTCCTCCTGGTACTCCTCCCCCTCCTCCTCCTCCTCCTCCTCCTCTTCCTGGTCGTCCTCCTCCTCCTGGTCGTCCTCCTCCTCCTGCTCGTCCTCCTCCTCCTCCTGCTCGTCCTTCTTCTCCTGCTCCTCCTGCTCCTCGTCCTGCTCCTGCTCGTCCTCGTCCTCCTGGTCTTGCTCGTCCTCCTCCTCGTCGTGCTCTTGCCCCTGCTGAAAATGTAGCCCAGGAATGGGAGTTTTGGGAAGTCGAAGAGCACGAAGTTGCCTACAGTTGGCTACGGGCATTCAAAATGTGGCCCGGGAATGGAGTTCTGGGAACTCGAAGAGCACGAAGTGGCCTACAGTTGGCTCCGGGCATCCAAAATGTGGCCCGGGAATGGAGTTCTGGGAAATGGAAGAGCACGAAGTGGCCTACAGTTGGCTCCGGGCATCCAAAATGTGGCCCGGGAATGGAGTTCTGGGAAATGGAAGAGCACGAAGTGGCCTACAGTTGGCTCCGGGCATCCAGAATGTGGCCCGGGAATGGCGTTCTGGGATGTCGAAGAGCACGAAGTGGCCTACAGTTGCATCCGGCCCCCCAGAATGTGGCCTGGGAATGGAGTTCTGGGAAGGCGAAGAGCACGAAGTGTGTGACTGTTGGTGACATAGTGTGTGACCCTCCAGGAGGGCTAAAAAATAGCACGCGACTTAAAAACCTATCCCAGAGCTATTCTATGTCTTGGTTTTAGGCCGTTTCGTTTAGTTTTTTTGGTTTTTAGGCCTCCTATGCTAAAAAATAGTTCTCTGGAAGGTCAGGGCAGGAGGGGTCCCCCAGGGGCTTCGCACCCCCTGTTTTGACGAGGTTCGCCCTGGGGGAGCTCTCTGGAAAACCCCCTCCCCGAGAACACCCTCTTTGGAACCCTCCGCTTTGTATGACTCGGACGTGTGCATATTTCCTTCGGCGAGGACCAAGGAGGAGCATCCTTGATCATCTGGCGAAAGAACCACGCACGAAGCCGAAAATAGCACAGGGAATGGACGTCAGAGCGATGGCGAGGCTGTTGACGCCGACGACGCCGCCGACGGCGGCACAGGAAGCGGAGGCGACGTGAGGGACGGCGCCGGAGCGCCGACAGAGCCCCGGCGGAAGGTACTACATCGAGGGCGGCATGCAGCTCGTGAAGAACGTGGAGAACTCCTGGAAGGAGCGCGGTGCGCGCGTCGGGTGGCCGCGGTGGCATCCTCGGGGGGGGGAGCGAGAGGAGGAGGAGGAGGAGGAGGAGGAGGAGGAGGAGGAGGAGGAGGAGGAGGAGGAGGAGGAGGAGGAGGAGGAGGAGGAGGAGGAGGAGGAGGAGGAGGAGGAGCGGAGAGGAGGAGGAGGAGGAGGAGGAGGAGGAGGAGGAGGAGGAGGAGGAGGAGCAGCTGGGTGGTGAAGGAACAGGCGAAGCACCGGAGGATGTAGAAGGATGAAGCAGGAACCCTTGCTACCGCATGTCCCGTCGTTCGGGTTTTTTGGTTCCTCTGTTGCCTGCTTGTTTTGGTTACCCTCCCCACTGGCACGGGCTACGACGACGGAAACAAGCACATGAACATAATCAGATCCCAGGACTTTTTAAGGGTCGTGGACGACGTCGGGAGGTGTGATGTATACTTGTTTCCTTGTTTTCCTGAGGAAACAACGAAGAATGTGTACACCTGGATCCCGTATGCACCAGGATCCGCTTTCTTTAGCGAGTTTCAGTGCGGGACCGGGAAATGCGTCGGTGTGTAGAGTTTGGCTCCTTAACGGTGGCCATCAAAGGTCGCAACCGTGATCTGTGCCGACCCACATCTTGAGGGCTTGCAGGAGGAGGAGGAGGAGGAGGAGGAGGAGGAGGAGGAGCAGGAGGAGGAGGAGGAGGAGGAGGAGGAGGAGGAGGGGGGGGGGGGTGGCTTTTCCATGCCTTTCGACCCCGCACCTGGACGGGCATCGATGTGGAGGCTTCGCCTCCGACGCGGCGGCGGTGGCGTCTGCCACCTGGTGGCGGGGCCCACTTGCCATGCGGATCTTCCCCATCATCCGCATCCTTCCTTTCCGCCCGGTTGCGTACTTTGTGGACACGGTGACATTTTGTTTTGTCGGACGTGCGCAGGACGAGGCGGACGATCAGAGTAAGCCCAAGATACATCGGCGGTGCGGGACATTTGTAGCGGAGGGGTCGCACGACGTCGCGTCATGTGGAAGGAGTTATTCGGAAACAACAGGGGTGGAGCTGTAGTTCCATCGTCGTTCGTCCTCCATCCGCCCGGAGACGCCACTGAGCGCCGCTCGCCCAGCTCCTTCGAGGACCCCCACTCCTTCTGGCTCGTCGACCTTTCCCGCCTGCTCCCCTGGCGCGCCCTGTCTCGAATCCCGCTGTGCGCGAGTGGACATGCAGCACGAGCAGGAGGACCGATGTGTCACTATGAGTTGCTTGGCGCTGTTGGCTCCAAGGACTTCGAGGGGGCGTCCCGGGACCGTCTCCGCCTGCGCACCTGCGCGCTGACGGCATCAGGGTCGAGTGCCGACGCTGTCTCCCTCCTCCTCCTCCTCGGCCTCCTCCTCCTCCTCCTCCTCCTCCTCCTCGGCCTCCTCCTCCTCCTCCTCCCTTTTGGTTCCGCCCCCCTCCGTCTCCATCAACGCACCTCCTCTTCACACCCCGCTCCTCCCTCCCCCCCCCCCCCTTCCTGTCTCCCCGCCTCGTCATCTCAGATCGGACGGCAGGGGAGGATCGGTAAAAGGAGGCGGGGGAGCGACCCCGCAGCTCGTGTGCGGCTGATCTCGGCCCCGCCGCCGTGGGCACCTTCTTCGATACCGTGGGCGCCTCTGGCGGCAGGAGGCGCCAGGGAAAGCAGCTGCGTGAGCTGCTTCGCCAACCCTCCCTTTCGCCACACGCCTCCGAGGCCCGACCCAATCCTCGTCATCCCCCCCCCTAGGAGCGAAAGAAGGACGTACACCATGAATCCAGGCTGGTTTGGAAAGTACGCATTGCCCGAATGTTCGTATCACGCGGCCAGTCTCGCGGATGGAGGGCCCGTGTTCATGTACATAGCTGGGCGCGTACGTCCTTTGTGGGCTCCCTACCCCCATCGGCCTCCTCCCTCCCCACCCCTTAGCACCCCCTCCAAGGAGGCCAGGCCGGAGGTGCGGCGGGCCGAACAATTCAGGCGCTGCGTAAAGGGGGGGGGGAAAGGGAGGGGGAAAGAAGGGTGGTCGTTTTGCATTGTGAAGGCGACCCCTAGGGCCCACAAGGGGGCACGTCTCTCCCCTCCCATATCTCCAGGCATCCTAGATAGTGTCGGAGGATCGCGCCGTAGATGCATGGGTGATGCGGTCCGATGTGGAGCCCGATGTTCTCCACGCCGATGGCGCCGATGCCTCACCGATGTCGCCAATGCATCGCCGATGCGGCGCGATCCTCCGACACCATCTATTCGGACCCCATCGAGGAGACCTAGTGTCTCCCCACCTTCCCGTCTGGGCTCGAGCTAGACGGTGCTTGCGCGATTTCGTGGGCCGTCTTCGTTTCGGTTTCGTTTCGCTGCAGCAGAGGCATAACGAAAACACAACGAACGAGCACGAAACTGACAACGAAGACGAACAACATTGTTCTGCTCGAGGTCTGTGTCTCGTCCCCCCTGGTTTCAAGAAGGCGCTCCTTTGCAAGTTCGTCGACTTCGACACCGCCTGGTTCCGAGGCTTTGCCTCCTCCCGGCCTCGTTCTGAGGCTGCGCCCCCCTTCTCCTCCCCCTTCTCTGTGTAATTTAAGCTCTGCGCGGCCCGCGTAGCTTCGACCGGACGAGGTGCGCTCTCGACCCGCGAATCAAAAAAGTCTGTGCCTTGTCCCCCCCTTTGTTGAGCAACGCCCCCCCCAATCAAAAACCAGAAGACGAGCGACAAAAGACAGGAGCGGGGCAGGGGCGGGGGACGGCCCGCGGCGGGGGAGGCGCGCCCGAGGCCCCGAGGCCCGTCCCCCTCCCCCAGGCAGGCGATCGCAAGCATCTGGGCATCGCTCAGACGGGTGCATTTTTTCCTCGGCGAGCACCATCGAGGACCATCCTGGAGCCATCGAGCAAACATTTTTAGTCTGCGGGTCGGGAGCGGGCCCCTTCCGGTCAAACGCTAAACGTGAGGCGGGTAGCCCTAATTGGGGAGAGGGCGCGGGCGGGCGGGGCCTCAGGCGGCCGGAGGGCTCAGAAAACAGGCGGTGCCACCATCGAGCAAACAAAAACACGCACGAAAACGAAACATGTACGGGAAATGGACGTCCGAGCGATGGCAAGGCATGGATCAAGGGGGGCGTGGATCAGCGACGGGTCCCGTCTCCATGGGAAAAACCACAGAGCTCCGCCGCCGAACGGGGCGGCACCGGCCGCATTCTCGGGAGGGCACCTCTCCCGATCCATGGATTTGGCGACCGCGCGCCGAATCCGTGGATCGCGAATCCATGTTGGCGCGCCCCCGACCCCTTGCGGCGCTGCAGGAGGTGGAGGGCCAGAAGTCGCAGCTCGACGCCCAGCTCAACAAGGCAGCTGCCGCCGCCGCCGCGGCAGCCACCGCCGGGTGCATCTGCCTCGCCGGCGTCTCGCCGTCGTTGGCGTCACCGCCTTCGGCGTCGTCGGTCGTGTCTCTCTTCGGCATCGTCGTCCTCATCGGCGTCGGCGTGGCCGTCGCCCTCGTCGCCGTCGCCGCCCACCCCCGCGCGGGCGCCGCCTTGGGCTCCTCGAGACTGCCCAGCGCCACCGTAGGCTCTCCAGGTTTTCCAGCCCCCCCCCCCCCGCGCCCATCCCGAGACCCCCCTCCCCAAGGTTTGGGAATGGTGGCTCAGAGGCGCCTCCCTCTCCACAATTACACAATATGAGGACTACTCTCCTCTCTCCCCTGGTGGCAACCGGGGAATGTCGGGCCCCCCTCTGCGCCTTGGTTTTCCTATCACAGGATTCCCAGGAGTTGGGTTGTCGCTTTGGTTTTTCAAAATGCTGCTCCTCGCTGAGGCGCCGGCATCATTTTCGGGCTACCGCTCATTCCGAATCGTGCTCCCGCTGCAGCGTTGGCCTCATTTCCGCGCTTCCGCTCGTTCTGAATCGTGCTCCCGCTGCGGCGTTGGCGTCATTATTTCCAGCGCCATGCCACGGCATGGCTTTCGGTCCTTCCAGGTAGGCCCCAAGATTTGGGGAATGGCCCCCCGAAAAACCATCGGAAGTGATAACACATTTGGTGTCGATTCGTTGATGTTTTGGGCCGCAGAAGCCCCTCCTCATTTTGGGGCGTGGCCACGCCATGCTATGTCAGGCTACGCGTCCCCATTTCCGCGTTTCCTGTTTTTTGTCCGAATCGTTGGCCTCATTTTCGGGCCATCGCTCGTTCCGAATCGTGCTCCCGCGGCAGCGCTGGTCTCATTTCCGCGCTGTCGTTCGTCCCGACTCGTGTTCCCACTGCAGCGCTGGAGTTATTATTTCCAGCGCCATGCCACGGCACATTTTTTTCGGTCCTTCCAAATAGGCCCCAACATCTAGAAAATGGCCTCCCGAATATCACCAGCGGAAGTGATTACACACTCGGTGTCGCCTCGTTGATGTTTCGGGCCGCAGAAGCCCCATTTCTAGGGCGTCGCCACGTCATGCTTTGTCATGCTACGCGTTGATATTAACACCATGCCATGCCATGTTACGACATCCGAATGTGCGAATAGAGAGGAGATCTACGCCATGGTAAGGGATGGGAAAGGGGGGGCAGGACGTCAGATATGACGCGAGCGCACCTAGCTTGTCCCACCCTCTCTTCGACCCTCCTCTCCACCGTCTTGTTACCCTTGTCTGCAGCCTCTCTACCTCCCTCTTCTTTCCTGCTCGCCACCGCCTTCTCATCCCCCCTCTTGTTCCTCCTCCCCCCCTCCTCGGACCGTCGCGATTCGAACGGAAGCTTCCCAGGCCTGGCTGAGCGCAGGAAGGATTTCCCGCCGTAATTTTTTAGGTCGACCCTCCGCGCCCGTTTTGGTCGCGCCTTATACAAGTGTTTCTCCCCCCACGTATTGGGAATTGCCACATCCCATCTTTCGGGGGTGAACAGAACCCCCAACAGTGGCACGTCGATTAGTGAATTGTCCGTTTTCGGTTCTCGAGAGGGCGCCGTGGCAGTTATTTTCCAGGCTTTCGCTTGCCAGGTTTGGGCCTCAGGTCGTTTTCGCTAAACTAGCGGAGCTTCGGTTCCATGGTCCTCAGCCGCCATGCCCGCGCGGTTATCTCTTCCCGCCATGCGTCGACCGCGCCGGCGTCCCACCCTCACTGCTTCACTCGACCTCGACCAGTTCATCATTTTTATGGAACTCGTCTTCGAGCTCTTCGAATTCACCGCCTTCAACATTCCAGATCGTCTAAAGGCTGGATGCCCCTTGCGTTGTTCTACGAGTCATTCGCGGCGGGGGAACCGCGCCCGCTCATTTCTGGGATCATCAACTCCAAGGATCACGCCCTTGCACGTCCCCTCCCGGCGTCCTCTTCCAGGGCCCAGCCGGAGTGTGTGTGTGTGTGTGATCAATTCCCAGATGCAAATCTGCAGTTTGAGAGGAGCGACCGGTACATGCTCAAATCTGGGGAGCCAAATCTGAAGTTTGAATCTGGTCTTGCTACCCAGAGTTTGGGAAGCGGCTGATCCGAATTTGGGGAGCGATGGGCGTCCAAGGTCGGGGAGCGGCTGCCCAAAAATTTGACAAACTTCAGATCTGATCTCTGAAGTTTGTCAGGCTTGAGATGGCTTCCTCCGAAACGTGGCAAACTTCAGATCTGAAGCTTGCACCTGCCATCGCCACGACCACCACCACCACAGCCACTATCATCGTGATCGTCATCGTCGTCATCACCACCGCAACGGCCATCATTACCATTATGATCGCTAGCATTGTCACCACCCATGATCAGTACCGTCGTCATCGTCATCATCTGCAGGATCAACGCCCCCCGACCTCATCATCCCCCGCCGCACCCGTCTGATTATCATAATTCCTCCCCCTCCTCACCACCTCCTATTGCACATGTCAATCATCGCACTCGTCGTCCTCTTCCGCATCGTTTGCCCTGTTCCTGTTCATCCTCTTTATCTCCCAGATAAGCGTCCCCATCGTCAGGTTGATCCTCCTCCCCTCTTCCACATCATCACCTTCGCAGTCGTCGGCATCAATCATCTTTCTCGTCCTCATCCCCCGTCATCCTCTTGGTCTTCATGTTCCTCCATCATAGATCCTACCGGTTCCTCTGGTTCCCCCTCCTCTGTCCTTTCGTTTCGCGCCTCTCCCCGCCAATCTGCCCCCTCCTTCCTTGCCGTCGTCCTCCGACTCCTCATCCTTCCACTGATCATCCTCGTCTTCATCGTCTTGTCTTTGCTTTTCCCTCACCTCCCTCCTCCTCCTCTGCGGCCGAGCGCGCAACCTATGGCGCAGCCAATAGGATACCGTTTTGTATTCGGCGGCCGAACGCGTACCTCATTGCGCAATCAATAGAAGACCGTTATACTGTCGGCGGCCGAGCGCGCGACTTGTGGCGCAACCAAGAAAAGAGCGTTTCATTATTGATGGCCGAGCGCGCTGCGTATGGCGCAGCCAATCGGCATTTTTATTCTCGAAGGCCGAGCGCGCAACCTATGGCGCAACCAATAAGGAGCCGTTGCATTTTTAGGCGGTCGAACGCGCAACTTATAGCGCAATCGCTGGGAGGCCGTTTTGTTCTCGCCGGCGGAGCGCGCAACCTATGGCGCAACCAGTAGGAGGCCGTTTTATTATCGGCGGCTGGGCGCGCAGCATTGGCGCAATCAATAGGATGCAGTTTTATCCTCGGTGGCCACGCGGACAAATTATGGCGCAACCACTCGGAGGCATCTTTTCTCCCTGTGGCCGTGCGCGCATCCTATGGCGCAGCCTAGAGGATGCCGTTTGAATATCGGTGGCCAAGCGTGCAACCTATGGCCCAATCCATGGCGCAGCCTACGCCGCAACCTACGGCGCATCCCATGGTACAACCCATAGATGACGCAATGCGTGGTGCAACCTATTGCGCAAGATTGTAGTGGCCTCCGGCCAGTGCCGCCGATCCAGGGCGCTCCGGATCATGGTGATGATGATGATGATGATGATGATGATGATGATGATGATGATGATGATGGTGATGGTGATGGTGATGGTGATGATGGTGATGGTGATGATGGTGATGCTGATGATTATGATCATGATCATGATGATGGTGATGATGATGATGATGATGATGATGATGATGATGATGATGATGATGATGATGATGATGATGATGATGATGATGATGATGGTGACGGAGATGGTGATGATCCTGGCCCCCTTCCCCACCGTCCTCCTCTCCTGTCCCCCCCCTCTACTTCTACTGTCCCCCCCCCCTCTCGCCTTCCCCTAATGTATACGGCCCGGAGTGGCTCGCCCACGCAGTTCCTGCGGGGCCGCGCCCGCTTTCTGCTCGCCGCCTGGACCAGCGGCGGGCACGAGCGTGCCAGTCCCCACGCACGCGCCGTCCACGCCAGGGGAGAAGAACCAGGAGGAGAATCAATCATAGGCACAATTAGTCGTCGATCCCCAAGAGAATATAGGAACATAGGGGACTTGGGCGGGAAGACAAAAAATAACATAACATATTGGAAATATTAAAGGGAAGCCTTTCATTTGTGTGTATGTATTTGTGTGCCCCAGGGCCCGTTCAAAGAAGAAGGACGAAAGGAGGGCAGGCACGACGAGGAGGCAGGAGGACGAAAGCGAGCAGGGAGGGGGGCGGAGGAAGGGGCAGGAAACATAATCCACAATGAGGAGGAAGAGGCCAGAGAAGCAGGAGGAGGCGTCGTCGGTCCTCGATGCTCGACTCGATTTCTTGCTCCTGTTCGTCTTCCTCCTCCTCCTCCCCCTCCTCATTCCCTCACCATTTTCATCAACCATCGATCCTAGACCCCTCTTGATCGATCCTTTGCCCCCCACGGCGATCATCGATCCTTGATAATCCCCGTGGTTTTCCTCCCCGATTCTCGAAACTCGATCCTCGCATCTTGATATCGCTCCTCCTCCTCGGCTCTCGACGCTAGATTCCTTCTCGCTCTCGATCCTCGATGCCTCCTCATTATTCTCTTCGACTCTCGGTCGTCGATTCCTTCACCCTCGATCTCTCCTCCTCACCTTCCCCTTCGGTCCTCGATCCTCGCTCACTTGTCCTCCTCGATCCCCGACGCCTCGATCATCGAATCCTCTTCGTCCTCGTGCTGTTCCTGATGCCCCTCCTCCTCGATACTCCATACGTCCGCCTCCATGTAGCAAAGAGGTGATGCACCCCACATTGTTACACATAGTTTGCATCATACGCAGATTGTACCACATGGATCGCACATTGAAATTGTTCGAATTTACATGGTGTGCCCAACGCGCTGGCATTGTCAGAACAACTTGTTCTGAATACGATTTGAACTTTGCCAAACTTCATATATGACACCAGAAGTTTGCCTGACTTCTGAGAATTTCGTCTGACGTCC